CGAATCCAATGATATATGTAACTCATTACTGACAAAATGTCCCTTACATTAATTGATACTTCTGGTATCGATATTTGTTATTCTGCTAAAATCTGTCAGTGTCAGTGGAATGTTGCCTTACTGTAGAATGTTGCCTTGTTGTATCTCCAAATGAAATCTGTATTTAATATAAATAGACTACACACACACACACATGTAAAGGACCATTACTGTTCTTACACGTATTGGGAAAGACGTGTTCGTTTATCCATTTCTTTTTATCATATTTCCTATTGGTAGTACCTGTTCGTAGTTTGAAGGGGAATTTCAAAACACACTGATTGTTACGATCGTTAAAAGTATGTTATGCGATCCCACGTGACTTAATGATGGGTATAAAAACTTCACCGCTTTTTTACCATTTTGTTTCACGTGTCTTCACCTCTGAGGTTTTCCAAATTAATTATGTTATGTACTCGCTTTAGATTGTTTATATAGTAGGTACTCTTTGTGTTAGCTGTTGCTGCTTCTATTAGAATAGTTAAGGTCTCATTGGAAGCCGTGGTAGCTTAATGATTAGACCTACTGCCTCACAAGCAGAGGCCGGGTTCGAATACGGACTCGCACCTGCGAGTGTTTCGGAATTTATATACGAAATTTAATTTGAAATTTACGATTAGGTTTTTAGTTAACTAAAACATCGTGATGAAAACCTTGCACGCCGAGGTTCAAAACCTAAAAGCAGTAGAACTCCTTGTGAAAGAGTTCGTCAAGGGAAGTACTGCCACCGTACCTATTTCTGCCGCCAAGCAGTAATATGAGCATTACTGTGTTCCGGTTTCGAAGGGTGCTGGTGAAATTACAGGCACATGGGACTTGTCAATTTATGTGTCAGAGTGACAGGCGCAGTGGCACTGCCCGTCAGATCTTTGCGATTTAAAGCACTGAGTGGCACTGCAAATGTTATGGACAAGCGTGTAGTTTATCATCAGGCGCACGACTTGTTCGTTCCGTCACTAGACATTATAAAAAAATCCCTCGGAAAACATGTGAAGTCCCCAATCCGAATTGGGCTAGCGTGTGAAAAGACCCGTGCCCAGCAGTGTGACGTACAAATGACGAGTTGATGATGATGACATTGGAATCATCAATTTAAAACTGGCAATTTCACATTCACTTTTTTTAGTAGTATCTTGACACTGTCAAATACGTTTATACTGTCATGAAGTCGATTATTTTGATAATAAAAAATCTATTATTTTAATGATATCTATTTACAGGTAAAATAGAAGAGTCAATTAGTAGCAAATTGCTTTAGAAGTTCAGTTGACAACTTAACAAAAAACAAAAGTTGCAATACTTTATTTTTATTGAATACATGGTATTTACGTTTTTTCCTACCATGATATTTTTACTGCCATCAGTTAGCAGAGCAGTAGCTACGTTGAAGCAACAGTCGCTGGTTCGAATCTAATTGGGTTGAAGGAATTTTTCTTTGTTTGTTCAATGTTTATATTTTTTGTAATTTTGACGATCGCGTGTTTATTAAACGTTTGCCTTCATTATTAACATGCATAATTTAAGATATGTGCTACTTTGTTAACGGCATCTGAACAGATCAAGAATATTTTCATAATTTTACGTTATTTCATCAACTGAAGTAAAACATCAACCAGAGTAAACTCACTGTCAAAAGTTAATTGCGACCCTGACTGTATTTTTAGCGGGTCAAAAGTCGGACTTTAAGCTTCCATGACCTAAATCTGAATCTCGCTAACCCTGAGAAAAAACATCGTGACAAAACTTGTTCGAAGAAGGTATACTAACCCTATGAAAAATCAATGCAGTTCAAAGTTCGCACGGGGCGTGGCGAACTATAGCCTAAAAACTCTATCCTAGAAAGAAAGCGTGCACGGCAATGGAAGATAATGATAAAATCTTAACCTCGATGCTACCTTAGTGTTAAAAAAAATACTGTAAAAAAATCAAATCTGTTTAAAAAGTACTATACGTAGATTGACAAAAACATAAGGAGTTAAACAATAAGGCAAAGTCAACAATGCCTACAGCTAGTTTGAAACTAATATGACATCTGCTATAATTTGGAAAGACCCGGTTTATCTCGTATGGAACCCATTTCTTATTTATTACTTACGCGACACAAACTCACATGCGTCAGTGATTTCCAAAGAACCACTAATGAATTTGTAACCACGAATTAAGTAAAAAGACCCAAGACGTAAAGATTTTTGGTGGGTTTTTACTGTTGTTAATAGTACAGTGAAGATTGGTCAGAAGTCGTTATTTTCATATATAATAGTAATATAGTTAAATAGTAAACATATTGTGTAACAAGAATATAATTATTAGAATAAATTTACTTTGTATGTTTTTTTTGTGTAGCCATCGCAATTCAGATGTAATGCTTACGTATAAAGTTGTAGTACTTTGTACAATATCATTGTACGTAGTACTCTGACAAAAATTTGTATTAGGTACATGTGGCTGAACGGTTACCATGCTGGCCTGTCACGCAAAGGTCTCGGGTTCGATTCCCGGGCCGGAAGTTTGGGTGTGATTTGAGGTTGTCTATGTACACCCTGTATGGCAGATACCATGGATACACATCCATGGTACCCGCGGTACTATACAGGGTTATGAGTTTATGCGTTATTACTTAAATGATTAAGGTCTCCATTCCCACCAAGACTTAAAAAAAAAATCAAACGTAGTATTATAAGCCACCCTGACACGGTTCCACTTTTTAGCAATGAAATATGCCATGGACCAAAATGAACGGAATTGCGTAATTACTTATATCCTTTTAGGTGTATAATTACCGAAACCGCAATGAACCTTGTAATTGAGTACATTTCATATCTCGCTATATCATCAGAGAGATGGAGAGATTTTCTTTACATTTAATGTATCTTTAAGTAGATATATTAATACATTTATTAACGTTGGTGGTGGCAAAACTTGAAGCTGTTAAAGTAATGGACGATTTTGAAAGTAGCGTAAATTATTTCCTGGTATAGACTTCGTGCAATGAATTTTTTTTTTATGATGTCAAACGACACACGGGGCGAACAAGCGGTGCGACTGGTGGTAAGAGACAGGCTTATCCATTACAGTTGCAGTGCATTCAGAGCTTTACATCGCCAAGATCTGTCAGTAGTTGACAAGTCCCGTGTGCATGTAATTTCACAGCACCCTTAATATACGTAAGGATGCTGGTGAGTGTCATTTGTAAGTTTTCACATTACTGTAATACCTTACCTACTTATACATCTCACTGCTGGCCACGGGTCTCCTCTCGCGCTCACTCAATGCGGGTTGGGGACTTCACACGTTTTCCGAGGGTTCTTATTTATAATATCAAGTGACAGGACGAACAAGTAGTGCGCCTCAAGGTAAGCTTCACGCCTGTCCTAACATTTACAGTGCCACTTAGAGCTTTAAGTCTCAAAGATCAGAGCGCCCGTCGCCCTGAGACTTAAGTTGATATGTCCCACATGCCTGTAATTTCACCAGCACTTTACCCTTCAAAACCAGAACGCAGTAATGCTGACATTACTGCTTGGCGGCAGAAATAATAAGGTGGCAGTACTTCCTTGGAATAACTCTTTCACAAGAGACTCTACTGTTACTAAAATGGGAACTACTGCGTTCCAGCATAGTACATTCAAAATAAAACCGGTGCAACTATAAATGAACCCACTAATATAATCTACTTTATGCAAAACTGTTTCATTACATTCTTTTTTTTCGAAAGACACCTAAGTAAGTATACGTAGTGATTTTTGAAAATTCGAACGTTCCGCTTTGTATGCTTTCGTTTCTGTTTGCTTATATATAACTTACCTGTACTTTATCCAATGGGGAGTTTGTTTTATTCATATTGTTATCGACAGCTTCGATATTTGACATCTTGATGGCGTGGTGTTTTAAGTTTTTTACAGTTGTGTTTTCCCGCACATTGTGAGCTTCAATTATCTGAAACAAAGAAGTTACGTTGGTTACTATTATATTAATAAATATTAACTTAAATACACAATAATTAACATGATTCATGTTTATGCTGCTTTAGTACTTGCGTAGATCATGCGCCGTTCAACTTCAATTTATTGCGAAAAATAAGCCATTCCACGGGAACGTACGCATTTTATTCAAATTTGTAACAGTTTTTATTTCGTACTGAACAGCAGTAAATAACATTGGAAACAAAAATATGTCTGCTTCCGTTCAAACTTGTCAATAATATCCACCTGACACGCAATTTAAAATATCTACGGGGCGATTCTGAAACGGATTAAGGATTAGTAAATTCTTTTTTTTATTATAACAAGTGACGGGACGAACAAGTCGTGCGCCTGATGGTATGCTACACGCCTATCCATAACAGTTGCAGTGCCACTCAGAGCTTTAAATCGCAAAGATCTTAGGAACACTGCCACTGCGCTCGTCACCCGCGGACATAAGTTGACAAGTCCCATGTGCCGGTAATTTCACCAGCATCCTTACCCTTCGAAACCGGAACGCAGTAATGCTAACATAATAGGTAATATATATAATAGGTAAGGTGGCAGTACTTCCCTGGACGAACTCTTCCGCTAGGAGCTCTACTGCTACTGATTAATCCCTATATAATAACAATAATAACGGACACACTCAACGGACATTATTGTCTTTAATAAAATAAAGTAGTTATAATTCTTCTCATTGTTGTCATCGACATCTTCTACGTATTTTTCAACCAAAGTTAAGAGGGATACCATCAAGCCTAGGCAAAAATGTTATGAAAGAAATTTTGGTATTTCTTAGAGAATATAAAATATGTTATGTCGTTTTACATGACCCACACCTAAGATCATTATTAACATTTTTTTAGTTTCTTCTTGCGATAACACGATGATGTAGAATTTAAATATTTAACGTAATGAGAGCTGTAGGAGGTACTATGTAACTACTCAGGCATATACATATAATTTTAATTACTTGTCGTCTTAGATTTGTCACACTTTGTTAAACTATGTACGATTAACAACCCAATATAATTAGCATTAAGGAGTGCATTATTATATCTTATAGAAACCTGATTCGACGTAAAATAACAAAGTGAATAAGTAAGAAAATCGATCAAAGTCAAGAAGAAAAGAATGGCCCTAATCTACTCCCTTGTGGAACAACAAATAATACATACCAGAGGTCACTAAACCGCGCGGAGTCCATACTACAGTCGAAGTTCGCGTGAAAAAAACAAAGTAAATGAAAGTCGGAGTCAACGACCTTATACAATTTCATGCTACCGCTAAGCAAGAGAAACCAAAAGTCATTGAAATTACTTTTTCATATACGATCGTTCATGCCACTTATAGTATACCTAAGTACTTATGCAATGTTAAAATTGAGATCTTTCCTTCATTACTAAATTTGTACTACCATTGTTGAATTTGGTTGTCCTATATACTTATGTGATCTATAGATCTTTAGATGTTTTTAAACCACAAAAGTAAAGGTATTATTTTTATATACGAGTTATTTGTGGTTAGCTCTAAGCTGGGAAAGCCCACTGGTGAAAAAAACAAACTAATTTCCTGCAAGTTTAGTATGAGCGCAAGAACAAAAAATTATATCTTCTCCAAGCTATCGGTTTGCTACCAAAGCTTACGTCACGCAATTTATCATTCCAGTTGCCAACGTCACCGTCACGCAGATTTGTTTGCTGTTCATAATATTCCTAGTACGAATTCCAAATACACGCTATGTATTTTAGTTTTGTTAATTCAGTTTGTGATGGAATGTAGAATAATCCAATCCTAAAAAATTCAATAATCAAGTGCTAAATATTATTTTTTAGTATATTTTTCTTTCATAGCTCTCCTATTATATGTATATGTCGCAGCCGTATTGTATAAAGTGCCGTATTACATTACGGTCAGCCGGTTTGCAAAACTGCTCTGTTTTCTAATACGGCTGCCTCATGTTCAGCCGGATTATGATCACGATACGTTTTACGAAGCGGCGGCGGCCAACGTTTAGCTGTATCGTTCAATGGAAAATGTTACCATGGCTATGAATTATACATACATAGGTCAAATCTTGGTTGCGCTTCTATCTTCTATCGCCTTCGGCTATTCAGTAGGTTAAGTTGGGTTAGGTTGGCACTCGTATACGAAAAAGCAGACCAGAAGCGAATTTACACACATATTTTAACTTTTTCACTCCTAAAAGTAATATTGTTTGCACTTTGTTGAGATAGTTGCTATTTGGAACGGAATTTTTGTTGTTATGATAATGTTGCTCTACTACCGGCTGTACATATTTGGAATTAATCTCAGAGCAGCGTTATAATGACTTTGTGGAACGCCACGTGCTATAACAATGCGGCGTACTTTTTTTTTACACGAATTTAAATCCTTCTGAACATGAGGTAGCCGTATTAGAAAACAGCGCCGTTTTGCAAAGCGGCTGCGATACATATACTACTTACAACATTTAAATTGGTTTATATTGATCTAGAGAGGTAATTCCATTGTAAAATTGCACATACCTTAACATATAATATTTGATGATTAGTCTGGAGGAGGAAACAAAAGGTTAACACCTTCCTATAAAGAAACTGGTTACTCACTAAAGTGTTAGGTGAATGTAATACACATTACAGGCTTGCTCTTTGGTCGGCCGTGTAAAAAAGAATCATCATATATGTCAACCATATTATATGTCATTAAAAATAAGAAAAGTACACATCGCATAATATGCTGGCGAAATTACAGGGACATGGGGTTTGTCAACTTATGTCTCAGGGTGGCAGGTGCAGTATCGGTACCCCTCAGATCTTTGCGATTTAAAGCTCTGAGTGGCACAGCAACAATTATGGACAGGCGTGTAGCTTACCATAAGGTGCACGGCTTGTTCGTCCTTTCACTTGGATATTATAAAAAAACAGGTACGCGATGTTTTTTTTTCGTCATATAAGTACATAAGCAGTCTTTTAAATGTTGGGTGCGTCTCATTTGTGTGAAAATTAATTAATTTGAATAGATATAACGCTCATTTAATATAATTTTCACTTAGGTTAAATATACTTCCTATAACTTAATTTCATATAATTTTCGTTTGTAATAATATTCACATTCTATAAGGACACTTTACAAAAAGCTCTAGTTATATTACAATCATTTTGTATATTGTCAATTCAGATAATATTTTTTGTTGTTGCACAAAAGAAGCCTCCCCGCACGATGTCGAATCATTTCTTTACGTCCAGAACGTGTGGCTCACCCTGAGAGACAATCGACGAGTACCTTAAGTCGATTGGCAAATCCTTTCACCACGATGGCAGGTATTCTAGTGTATGCCATCAACACGATAAGAAGAAGAACAAGATATTTTTTACCTGTACCTGTAATTTGCGCCCTTCCTTTATTGAGTTAGTTAATTATATAAAGAAGCTGAAGTCGCCAAAAGCGAATTTGTTTGTTTGTTTCCGTGCATGTCTTAGGTCAAATTTATTTCAAATTGAGGTTTATAATAACTTATAATTGTTATTTGTTACCTATAATTGCTTTTTTTTAGTACTCTGTACTGATTAGTATAGAGTACTAAAAAACCGACCTCAAAAGTTCGTGGAATTACATTTATTTTCCAAGTTTTATAGAAATCGGTTACCGGAAGTTTGCCACTCTTAGAGGTGGAATATTTCATTCAAATTTAAATGGAACTACTGTTGAGGTACCCTCTTTCCAACAAAAAAGAATCATCAAAATCGGTTCACAAATGAGGGAGTTATCGCGTAACATACATACAAAAAAACAGTGGAATTGAGAATTTACTCCTTTTCGAGAGTTAGAGTTAATGATTGTAATAAAAAATGAAATTATAGAATGTAAGTTGATATCGAACGTTCCTTATCTTAAGTAAATTGTTTACATTAAGAAAATTTATATTAAATAAAATTATATTAAATGAGCGTTAGGTTACAAATATTTATCGACGCTGGAAATGTAAAACGTCTTTCTTCTGTGCATTTGCAAAATATTACAAGAGAGTGATTTAAAGAATTTTTTTTAAGAAAAACCAAATCTAAATAAATTACTCTAATTTTGTTATATTCCATATAACAAATAGGGAAAATTGGAATTCTAGTTTTCTATATAAAAAATTAAATTAGAGTTGCTTTTTTTTTTAAATTTTAAATCGCTCTCCTGTAATATTTTTCAAATGCACGTTAGATGCTATACCTTGTCAATGTCGATATGATACATTACACACCCGTGTTTCTTAACAAAGTTTATTTCTTATTAAACAAAACATGTGGTCAAGAAAAGAGTCCCACAAGGCACATTCTTGAAAGGGGATCAAGAATGTGCCTTGTGGGACACCCTTTGTCCAAATAACTACTGAAGAGGGATAAAGGTGAATGATAAGGTTATAAATTATTATGTTCAGTTCTTTGCTACTTCCACTAAGTAAATACTAATCAATATTTAAAATCAACACATTAACTGACGCACTTGATGTGTTAGAAGTAGACAACTTAAATATTAACCATTCATTTACATATAGGCAAATGGTTACCGTTCGCCATGTTTCTACCGTATCAGTCAACGTTAATTAACTTAACTTTGTAACTAATCTTTGCAGCCAATTTGCATGAAATGAAGTTTTCTGTTGTGTATATACAATTTTGATCATACGATAATAATTACAAGTATGTTTATTTCACTTTATAACTGATAAGTGTCATGGCAAGGTGTCGCTATATCAACATTTGAAGGTAACAAGAAGGCAATTTATCTTATAACTAGTAATTTACCAGTCCTAGTTTACTTAAGTTCGTTAAGGCCTCTCCACACTAGCGCGATTCACGCGCGAAGCCGCAAACTACCCGCCAAGCATGAGTGTGGATCCCATTGGTTCTTGGTTCGCATATGTCGGTATTTTGTCCCGCAACAAAGGTTCGCGAAGCGAGAGCTTGGCGTGAACGCGAC